GGTGGGGGGAGGGGGGATTGTCCGTTTGTGCTGTCCTGGGGTGGTAAGTCTGTCTTTGCTGGGGGGTCTTTGTGCTGAGGGCAGCAAGTCTTTCCTGGGGTTGGGGATTCTGTACTGGAGGGGATTAGTCTGCTCTGAGGAGTCTGTGCTGGTGGTGGGGGGTAGTCTGTGCTGGGGCAGGTGGTCTATGCTGTGTGTAATGAGGGGTTTGCACTGGGGGGGGGTGTCTGTTGTGAGTGGGTAGACTGGCAGAGGGTATTTGGCAATGTTAGGGAAGATCTGTAATGTGTGTGATATAAATTTTGGGGGTGATAATTTTGTACTGGGCAGAGGGGGGTCGTTGTGGTTCTGCATTAAGGCTTGTTCACGCTAGTGATGGTAAAACCCTGCAGCTGACCCGCAGTTTTTCCACTCCCCTATTAGCCACAGAGGCTGGGGGTGTACACACATGCGATGGTTTAGTTATTATTATTATACAGGATTTATATAGCGCCAACAGTTTGCTCAGCGCTTTACAATATAACGGGGACAATACAGCTTCAATACAAGAGGGTTAGGAGGGCCCCGATCCTAGGAGCTTACAATCTAGGAGTTTGTGGCTGCTGCAGGAATTCTAACCCCTGTGCCTTTGAATGAATGAGGCGAAGACCACCAGTAACTGAGTCAGAAATGAACGTTTTGGTTCCAGTTTTTGTAGTGATCATTGGTGTTTTGCTGGGCATTTCACCTGGCAGTTGTTTCCCTAAACTCCCATTTACGTCTTCTCTAGTCTCAATGATTTTGGAAGCTCTCAGCTTCTTAAAGGTGTCAGGATCTCAGCAGGAGCAGCAAATTGGGGGCTGGAGGTACAGGTGGCATTGAGGGATCATAACTACTATTTATTACAGGTACTTATATAGCGTCCTCCATTTACGCAGCGCTTTACATATATATTTACATATATATTATATATTCACATCAGTCCCAATTACATAACACTGTTGGTATCCCCACGCACAGCAGTGGTAGAAGAGAATCATTTTAAGGCCATCCTTCACCCCAAGTTCACACCTAAGCGTTTTTTTCTGAAGTGTTTTGCAGAAACACAGTACAGTCCATTTAACATGATTTCCTATGGGACATGTACACATCTGTGCGTTTTTCACCCGGTGCTTTTTTTGGAAATGGTCAGGGACTTTTTTGAATGCAAAAAGTTGTGTTTTTGTTTCTATAGACTTCCATGGAAATGCTGTAGTGTGGTTTTTTTGCCGTTTTGCGTTTTAAATCTGCCTAAACAAGAAAATTTTCAAAAACACAGCAAAAATGCATTGCAGAAACTGCTCAAACGCAACCTGCATAGGTGTGAACCTAGCCTTAAGCTGGCCATCAAGGCTTGTCCTAAATTGAAGTCTTGAGTAGCCCTGTTGGGACCACCTGGCTCAACAAATGGATACAGGTGGAAAATGATGAGCAGAACAGCGGCTGCAGTCAATCCGATGCAGTCACTCTTTGGGCATTCAGGCAGCCATGGGTGCTAAGGCTGTCTGAATACAATAGCCTGCAGTCGAGCCTAGCACGAATGGGGGGAATCAATTGATTTCTGCCCCGTGGACTGTACAAGGGGAATATAAGCATGTATGGCTAGCCCAACCATTTCCACTGCGTCATCTATTAAAAATTTGGGATATTCTAGTTTTTCACCATTTCGCAAGTAAACATGAGATTTAAACTCATTTAACAAATGCATATATTATAAAATGTTTGTGCAAGGCTTGTTGATTTTATATATATATATATATATATATATATATATATATATATATATATATTATATATATATTTATTTATTTATTATAGAAAATGTTTGTGTTTTTTTTTTTTTTTTTTTTTTTTTTGAGCTAACAAAAGAAAAAATTTTTCCGGAAAACACTGTCTAGTAAAGAGGAACCCTTGCCTCTGTTGATGTAAATGAAAATAAGAAATGGCACCTGCAGCAGCTATGAGATGAGAACATTGCCATTGCCTGTACCGCTGTAGTAACCCCTGTCGTCTTGATGCAAAATTCAGGAGGGCTTCTTTGTAATTTCCTCTGAATGGTTGGAGATTAGTAAAGCGAACCAAGAAACAAATCAGTCCTGGCTGTCAAGTATTATCCATTTTGGTGAATTGCGTCCGACCGTTCTTGCAAAATTTCTCCCTTCTGTAATTTGCAGGATATCTCTACTGTTAAAGGCCTTAGCAATCAACTATAAATTAAAAAGCATGGCAGATTTTAGACAGCTTTAGAGCAAGTATTCCAATTTGCTTCTATGGGCTTTTTCTAATTTTAATTAGGCCTTCGGTAATCTGGTAGTCATAAAACAAGTTCCTGCAGAGCTCCTGTTAGCCTGTTGAGGAGGGATTGTGTGTCCTATTACTTTGCTGCGGCTGTAACTGCCTGTTTTATGGACAGAGCAGTCCGATAGGAAGAAATATTGAGCTAGTTATAGAACTGCTCTGCTTACGGGGCACTGGATTTTCACTTGTGTGCCAAAAAGTCGTTTACTAATGGAAAGACCTATCCAAACATGTCACATGGGATCTAGTCTGAGTCTGTTGTTAAGTGGTAAATGACATTTGACAGCTGACGTTTGTGGACACCCCCCTATATAACGGAGTTCTGGAAATTCCTGTGAAGGGTTCTGCCAATGCAACCGCATACAAAGATATTTTTGGCAATTCCAAAGTTCCTACCTTGTGGTGACAGTTTGGAGAAGGCCCTTTTCTGTTGCCAAATGAGTGTGTGTACACAAAGCCAGTTCCATAAATACACAGTTGGAAGAATTTGTTGTGTAGGCCAGCCCTTTTCAACCAGGGTGCCTTGAGGTTTCTTCAGAGGTGCCTTGGCAAAATATCTACAAATTGGCCAAATCTTTTCTACAAGCCAGCGGGTGGAACAGGTCTGCCTTTTAAGTTACACAAAGCCACAGGTTTTCATTGAGCACCATTACGACCTTCTAGCCTCTGCCTTCCTGTCAACCAATGACCTCATTAGTTGATAAAGAGGATGTTGGTTGCCTTCACAGCATCCTCGTTGACCCTCACCTGCACCTTTCCGTCAGTGCTGGGGTCCATTAGCTCAGTGATGGAGAAGACTGAGGAAGAAGAGAAACATTGGACTACTAGTCAGTACCAGTGTGCCCAAGTGTATTTGCTTTGGAAGAATAAATCACCTCTAATTTTGGGTGTCCTGCGTGTGTGGATGTTGCTATGTTATACAAAACTATTGGAATAGTTTTTCACATTTTAGAATGGGGTGCTTCAAGACTGTCCATAATTTTAAAGGTTGCCTCGGGACTGTCCATAATTTTAGAGGGTGCCTTGAAATTATCCACAATTTTAAAGGTACCTTGACTGAGAAATGGTTGAGAAACACTGCTGTAAGCCATTGAGTGGCCTCCACAGAGCTTCTATCTCAACCCTACTGAACTCTTTAGGATGAATTGGAACAGCGACCACAATTCAGTTCTTCTCATCCATAATCATTACCTGACCTCAGAATTTCCCGCAGACACTCCAAAGTCTTGTGGGGAGACTTCCCAGAAGAGTGGAGAGCATGTAGCCACAAAGAGAAGGGACAAGTCCATATTAATGCCCATGGTTTTGAAATGGGATGTCGGTCAAGCTTCTATAGGAGTGATGATCAGTTGTTGCCGAAATGTTCCTTCTTGCAATACAATGGAATACTTTACACCCCTTACATAAGTATATTATTATTCCTTCCTGATGAGTGTGGGCTTGGTTGTTTCCAGGTCTTTTCATCCACCATCATTTATCTGACATTATAAATGCTGTTTTGATTGAATGGGCATAAACTCCCACTGACATGCTCCAAAATCTCATGGAAAGCCTTCCCAGAAGAATGGAGGCTGTTTATATCCTCAAAGAAAAGGGGACTCCATATTATTGCCCATGGTTTTGGCGTGGAATGTCCAAAACGCTTATGTGTAATGGTCAGGTATCTAGAAAAGTTTGGCCACGTAGTTGGACATTATAGTGCAGTATGATTCTGTACTCCCTACATAGCTCATGTTGGCCACTTACACCCTTTCTTCAACATTTCCCAGGGGCCAGTCTCTCTCCTATCTGCCATGGAGTGGGTTACTACATTTCCAGCCTGGAAATAAAAGCTGTCATTCAGATGTACAGCTGTTCAATTAAACTTTCCTCCCTCTCCACGAAAAGTTGACGGAAATTTGTGGCGTGTTCCTCCTCGGTGTCTCCTAATCATGGTAATTTAACAGATTCTGTAATTACCTGGCTGCTACGGATATATCTTGATTGCTGTTTTTTTCATCCTTTCTGTTTGGTGCTGGAATTTACATCTAATGGGAGCTGCGTTCATTAGCTGTCATTGTATAGGGGTGGTCCGACCTTCCAAGTAATCTGTGCTGTCATTTTCCTTCCTATATGCAGTTTTAAAGAAGGACTCCTGTCTGAATAAAAAGCCAGATACCATTTCAGAACAAAGCAGTGGAAATGGCTGAGCACACCCAATGGACATTTTCACCTCCTTTCCTTGCAATGAGAGGGGGGCTAATTTTTCATATTGGGCTTAATTCACACTAGTGCGACTCCCAGTGTGACTTGCATGTGACTCTATGGCAAGAAAGTCGCATCAAAGTAGTGCAGGAACCTTTTTAAAAGATGCTGTGACTTTAGTTGCATAGATTTGAATGGGTGCCATTTAAATAAATGGCTTTCGAGTTGTCGTACAACTTTGTGCTGCAGGCTGCATTAGCGTGAACCGAGCTTCACCCTTGTAAACTTAGTAAAATTCTTGTAATTTCTGCACTGTTACTCATTTTATCTTACAGTTCAGACTTTTTGTCAATGAAGTACAGGCAAAAGACAAAATTTTTAGCATGTATGAGGTTTTTTTTTAAATGCCCCCCTTTCTATGTATTCAACCACCCGTGTAACCAGGGCTTTTTTTTTCTCAAAAATAAGGTGCAGAAACTCCCTCCTCCATTTCTTGTGTCCGCCACCTACCCACCTCCGTGCACTGTCACTTGGTTCCACCCCCTACCCACCTCCGAACACTGTCACTTGGTTCCACCCCCTACCCACCTCCGAACACTGTCACCACCCCCTACCCACCTCCGAACACTGTCACTTGGTTCCACCCCCTACCCCACCTCCAAACACTGTCACTTGGTTCCACCCCCTACCCACCTCCGAACACTGTCCGAGCACTGTCACTTGGTTCCACCCCCTGCCCACCTCCGAGCACTGTCACTTGGTTCCACCCCCTGCCCACCTCCGAACACTGTCACGAGCACTGTCACTTGGTTCCACCCCCTGCCCACCTCCGAGCACTGTCACTTGGTTCCACCCCTGCCCACCTCCGAACACTTGTCACTTGGTTCCACCCCCTGCCCACCTCCGAGCACTTGTCACTTGGTTCCACCCCCTGCCCACCTCCGAGCACTGTCACTTGGTTCCACCCCCCTACCCACCTCCGAGCACTGTCACTTGGTTCCACCCCCTGCCCACCTCCGAGCACTGTCACTTGGTTCCACCCCCTGCCCACCTCCGAGCACTGTCACTTGGTTCCACCCCCTGCCCACCTCCGAACACTTGTCACTTGGTTCCAGCCCCTGCCCACCTCCGAACACTTGTCACTTGGTTCCACCCCCTGCCCACCCCTGTACCCACCTCCGAACACTGTCGGTTCTCATTGCTCCTGATGAAGCCGAGTGAGATATGCCCATTGACGAAACGCGTTGATGTCATACGTCAGAACGTCACTTCCGGTCACACGCATTGGCGCCATACATGCTGACCAGCAGGGAAGCGGCCATATTTGTGGGCCACGAGTTGTGCAAGGCTGCACAGGCACCAAGGGGAGAATGGAGCCCGCCGCCAGTTACAGTCCGAACACCGTCACTGGGTTCAACCCTCTACCCACCTCCGAACACCGTCACTGGGTTCAACCCTCTACCCACCTCCGAACACCGTCTGGGTTCAACCCTCTACCCACCTCCGAACACCGTCACTGGGTTCAACCCTCTACCCACCTCCGAACACCGTCACTGGGTTCAACCCTCTACCCACCTCCGAACACCGTCACTGGGTTCCACCCTCTACCTGAAAGGAATTGACTCTCGTTCCTCTCGAGCCACTGACCCCCGTCAGTCCCTGGCCTTGATCAGTGACTGTCCTCAGGCCTGGAGCCCACTCTGAGACACAGGAAATGCACACAGACACAAGGTGGTATCTCAGAATGAACTAAATTTATTCTTCCGTGTTTAAACTTATATATGAAACTTAAAACAATGCATAGAAATATAAAAACCAATCATTAATCAGATATGCATAAGCCAATCAAAATGTTACATATGTCAGTCATGCCCAATCATTTTGCATTTATGTTAATTATTATTAAATGCGTCAATTATGAACTTTTGTTCAGGACAGAAAGTAGACAATTTCCCTATTTAACATTGGCTATAATTATTTATAATCTTGCGACAGGATATATTCAACCACAGACTATCACCTGAATACTGGATACTAGAAATAAGGGAAGTTGGAGCTGGAGGAAAAAGAGGAACCTTAGACTCTTATCGAAAGTAAAGAACAGTCTTAAAACACAAATTAATCTTTAAGTACTGATTAAGTTTTAAAATGGATACTTATCTTAAAATGGCAGAGCTTAGGCTAATAGACTTAATAGAGACAAAATGGCGGTATGGTAATGCTGAAAGGCTGATTCCTTCAAATCCCCTCTTGGGTCACGTACGCGACCTTACACCTTTTTTACAGGTTGGTACCTGGGGCCCTTAGTAGGTCCTTTATCAAGACACTGATTCCACATGGTTTTAGTAATGGTGGCGTCAATAAGTTTCTGCATTAAACCTCGGATGCAGGGGATACAACAGCAACCACACAGAGTTAATACTGCAGCAGCCATTACTAAAACATGTGGAATCAGTGTCTTGATAAAGGACCTACTAAGGGCCCCAGGTAACAACCTGTAAAAAAGGTGTAAGGTCACGTGCGTGACCTAAGAGGGGATTTGAAGGAATCAGCCTTTCAGCATTACCATACCGCCATTTTGTCTCTATTAAGTCTATTAGCTTAAGCTCTGCCATTTTAAGATAAGTACCCCTCCAAACACCGTCACTGGGTTCAACCCTCTACCCACCTCCTGTAGACTGCATCGGATTGGATACTCTGCCGAGAGGGCAGACAATGGCTGGTCATGTGCTATGCATGGAAGTCTCACCAGTTGACCGTTTGAGGAGGTGATGTTACTGATAGACATGATCAGATTCTTTTTCAAATAGCATAAAAGCTAAAACTTAGGTTGGCCAATAACTAATGGTGCACTGAAATGAAAAACCTGGACTGAAACCAAAAATTCAGGATGCACTTGGCCAAAGCCAAAATAAACCGTTTTTAAATAAAATATATTTTTTATATCTAATTGCATTATATGCGACTTTGTAATTATTATCAAAAATTTAAATGAATATAAATTTTAAAAAATACAATCCGGTAACGTATAATAAAATAACACAAAATTAAAATGAAATCTATAATATTAAAAAACTTAAATGGGGGCGTTTTTGCATTGAAGTCAATAGGGGGCGTTTTTGCATTGAAGTCAATAGGGGGTGTTTTTGCATTGAAGTCAATAGGGGGAGTTTGTTTGCATTGAAAATAATAATAAGTCAATAGGGGGTGTTTTCGCATTGAAGTCAATAGGGGGCGTTTTTGCATTGAGGTCAATAGGGGGCGTTTTTGCATTGAAGTCAATAGGGGGTAGTTTTGCATTGAAGTCAATAGGGGGTGGTTTTGCATTGAAGTCAAAGGGATGCAATTTGGCATTCAAGTAAGTTACCATTATCTTCACTTCTTCTCTTCTTTTTTTTTTTTTTTTTCTATTGGAAAAACGACAATAAACCTATTTTCGGCCAATAATTTTTTGCGGCCGATTACATCTGTGCATCACTACCAATAACAATTGGTGGGGATTCGCATACCTGTCCTTGAACAGATGTAAACATGGTTTGCTAATATTAGCAGGTAGATAAATAGATTTACAAAAACTATAAAAATATATATATATATAATCTCAAATTAATTTTTGCTGCTCACACCAGTTGCAGTCATTGTTGAGGTCATTTGGCCTCTTCATGTTGAGCTGATTCACTCGACAGCTTGAACTCCCGACCTTAACACCCAAAACCACTGCCTCTGAAACTTCGCATGATCATTATTGCCAATCCCAGGCCAGTGATTGATGAAGTGAAAACAAGCTTTTTTTTTTTTTCTTCCCTGTTTACTCAGATGTCCCAGAGGCAGATTCACAAGTGGGCAGCTTAATCCTATTTTTATGGCTGGATTTCTTTAACTGTCTGCTATCAGTTTTAAAGATCAGGGTCGGCTTACTTTACACAATATGTTAGAAGATGGCGCTTTTGTGCAGGTTAAAGGGAATCCGTCACAAAGGGGAGCACCTGTCTCAGAAACATCAGATGGAAGCACTCATGCTGTGACCTGGATCTTGGTTTCAGATCCCACTGGGGACACTGTCTGCATGGAGTCTGTGTATGTCGGTTTTATTTCTTGGATTTCTCTATGGATTCCACCCACAATACAAGTTCATAGTGGTGACTTGTTTTGCGCCTCCTCAAGGTGTGTGTGTGTGTGTGTGTGTGTGTATATATACATATGTGTATATATAGATATATATAGATTATATATGTAGATATTTATTATTATTAGACATGATTTCTATAGTGCCAACAGATTGCGCAGAGCTTTACAAAATGAAGGTAGACATTAGTTACAATACAATTTGGTACAAGAGAAAAACAAAAAACAGTTATAAAGGGGAAAAAAAAAAAAAAAAAAAAAAAAAATATATATATATATATATATATATATATATATATATATATATAATATATAATAAATAATATAATAATTTTTTTTTTCCCTTCAAATGGAAGAAATGCTCATTGATCTTGAATAGAAGCAACATAAACTGATTTATCAGAGAAAGATACGCATTGGCTTGTCAAAACATTGACCAATGAAAAATGCTCCTACCTACGCTGGATCTTTCTGCCAGGAGGTGGCAGGAAAAAAAATCAAGCGTTAAAAAAAAAAAAAATGCTAATTTTGGTGCATAATTTATATGCATATACAGTTGTATGGCATCAAGCATAAAATCATTCTACTGGCCAGGATTTTAAATTTTTTTTCTGGCCACCGGAACAAATATACGCCCATATGGGTGCACTAATATGCATTTAGGCGTGTACGCATAAATTATGCTCATAAGCTTTTCTCCAAATAAAGCTTTGGTTTGGCGTGTGTGTGTGTGCGTGTGTGTGTGTGTGTGTGCGTGTGTGCGTGTGTGTGTGTGTGTGTGTGTGTGTGTGTGCGTGTGTGTGTGTGCGTGTGTGTGTGTGTGTGTGTGTGTGTGTGTGTGTGTGTGTGTAGTTCAGACCCCTGTCGGGCCCACTTATTTGTTCTCTGCCGATCCGAGTGTACAGGCAGCCAGGCACAACTCAATGACCAAGCAAAGAGTGTGTGTTTTTGTTTTTTTTTGTTTTTTTTCTTCTTTAATGCTTGTTGAACTTGGTTGGGGTGCAGGGTGAGCTTTGGGATACTCTAAATTTAGTGCATTAAGAAACCAGCGGACACTCTCTGCCTTCTCTTGACTCTACAGGATAATCCTCCTCCTTTGAAGACAATAGGTGAACAGCAATCCTAAGACTCCAAGCAAAGTAAAGGGTCCCAATCCACCAGCACTGCTGCAGATGCTCAAGGGGTTAGAGCAGCAAATAGTCACTAAGATCCTATGTCCAGGCCTAAACTCACAATAGCCCCGTATGCTTGGATGCCTCCGTCCAATATTGGCCAGGCGCTTCTTCCTTGAATCTCCAGGCTAGATCGTCATTGAATCCCCTTGATATGGCTCCAACTAGTTCCAGAAATTAGGCCCTCCAGCTCTCACTGAGCTGAGACGTCATGTATTGCAGACTTTAGCTACGCTTCCCAGAAGGGCAGCAGCCCTTCAGGCTGGAGTATTCTCCTAGACAAGACCCTGCTGCTGCTCCTGGCCTCAAACTATTTATGCACTAATCAGCCACCTACTGGGCAATCTCCCCCAGGGATCGGCTGAGACCACATACATTTTCAGGCCAAGGATCTGCTTCTTCCATCCCAATACATTCTAGAATCCCCTAGAAGACTGGGAATTATTGAGCCTGCAGCCAGTGAGATCCAGAACAACCAAAAATAATCACACACCGCCCCAACTATTACATAGGAGCCAAAGAACTAGATTTACCTGAGCCTCTTGCATGCTATTCTAGGAGGGTGCTAATCTAGAAGAAAGGGGATTTAAGTGTCTTTGAATGTGGCATGGTTGTTGGTGCCAGACAGGCTGGTCTGAGTATTTAAAAAAACTGCTGATCTCCTGGGATTTTCACGCCCAACCATCTCTAGGGTGTATGGAGAATGGTCCGAAAAAGGAGAAAATATCCAGTAAGCATCAGTTGTGTGGACAAAAATGCCTTG